TAAGTCTCCCCACGTGTCGGGGTCCGGGGCCTCAGCAGCCACCCACAAGCGGATGCCCACACTGAGTGCTGCCCCTGCACCTGCTGAGGAGACCCCCGAGACAGGCCTGAAGGAGAAGAAGCACAAAGCTAGCAAGAGGAGCCGACATGGACCAGGACGTCCCAAGGGCAGCCGGAACAAGGAGGGGGCTGGGGGTCCAGCTGCTCCCTCGCTGCCCAGTGCCCAGCTGGCTGGCTTTACTGCCACTGCTGCTTCACCCTTCTCCGGAGGTTCCCTGGTCAGCTCTGGCCTGGGTGGTCTGGCTTCCCGCACCTTTGGGCCTTCAGGGAGCCTTCCCAGCCTGAGCCTGGAGTCTCCCCTGCTAGGGGCAGGTTAGTGACCCTTGGACATCTCAGGGCCCAGCCAGTCTAGTGAGGGAACAGAGGCATAAACATGCAGTGAGAGGGAAATGATAGAAACTGCTCCAAAAGACAGAGATAAAGGAGGGAAGAGATAGTCACCTCCAAGACACTCCCCCATACCCATCATCTGCAGGCTTGTAGTGAGAGAGTTTGGGGTAGACTGCCAACAGGACCTACCTAATAGAAAAGCCAGGACTCCCCCAGGTCTGGGCAGGGCAGTCTAATAAGCAGGTACATCAAGCAGACGTCACAGGCAGATGTGACATCTTTGTAGCGAGAGCATTAGACTGCTGTGTGTGGCCAGACCCAGGGGAGTGTTCTCTCTGGGGAGGGGCTGCCCCAGCCACCTGGTGGAGGAAGGGCGAGGGGGAATGGTGACTAAGCTTCCCTCTGTGTCCTCCTTCTGCCTGTAGGCATCTACACCAGTAATAAGGACCCCATCTCCCACGGCGGCAGTGGTGGAATGCTGCGAGCTGTCTGCAGCACCCCCCTCTCCTCCAGCCTGCTGGGGCCCCCAGGGACCTCGGCCCTGCCCCGCCTCAGCCGCTCCCCATTCACCAGCACCCTCCCCTCCTCCTCTGCTTCTATCTCCACCACTCAGGTGAGGCCTTACTCCTGGGCTCCTCCATCCCTAGACATGTGGGGGACAGGCTGCCTAGGGCCCCAGGTCTCCATGGGAGAGATTGAGAATGTCTTCCTCTCACTGGCCCTCTCTCCTCCCCAGTACACCTACCTGATCCCCTCCTCCCCCGACACAGTTGTGCCCTAGATCCAAGAATAACCACCAGGCTGGACTATACCTCCTTTCCCTCAGGTGTTTTCTCTGGCTGGCTCTACCTTTAGCCTTCCTTCTACCCACATCTTTGGAACCCCCATGGGTGCCGTTAACCCCCTCCTCACCCAGGCCGAGAGCAGCCACACAGGTACGTGTCTCTGATCCCATTCCCCTTTCTTCCCAAAGACCAAAGGGGCACCTGTCACCTGCATGTCACCCCAGAAAGGATGGGAGGGCTTTCTGGCTGCCCCCTCCCTCTGGCCGTTGCCCACCCTGAAAAAAAAAATCCACACACAGCAAACCAGGGTATACTTTCACGTTAAAATCCCCTGATGGGACGGGTAGGACCTGGCAGAATTAATTACTACTGCTCCATCTCACAGAAGAAAAAGGCTTAATGACTTGCTCAAGGCAGTTCAAGTAGAGAAGGGCAGAGCTGGAGCTCAATTCTGGTCCTGACTTCAAGCCCCGTTCTCTGGTCACTGCAGCGTAATTCCCCGCTGGCCTCTTAGTAAGTCCTTGGGATGGGCGTCTAGGGAGTCCACTAGCTGGGCAACCTGCTCTCCGGGTATTTAGGAGTTAAGGGGGAGGATCACAAGCGCCCCTCCCTCTCCCGGGAGAGTTGTCCCAGCCCCAGAGAGCTGATTGGCACAGAGACACCACCTGGCCGGTTAGGGGGCGGAGCCTACCTCCCGGCCGCCAGTTCAGGTAAACTTTCTAAAAGGGGCCGAATCCGACTCCAGAATTAATGACCCGACAGCGCAGGGTGACTACCTTTTCCAAACCGCACATTGGAATTCTGTGGCCCAACAAAAAGGTTTGGCAACCCAACTTGTGAGTTTATGAATGTGAAAAGTCGCACAAAACTATAATAGCTACAGTTATTACGGGCTTGCTGCAGGACAGCTAACACTTCACATTTATTACCTTATTGTTAGTCTTCATCACAACCAATTCAGAGATATTAGTTTCAGGCCCAAGGTCACATAGCAAGTATCGGGCCCAAGTTCAATCCAAGACTGTGTAGACCCCGAATTTCTATAACCCTGAAAACACCAGGAAAGAAATTGGGAGGGGGTTCCAAAAGAAGCCAGGCAGCGGCCGCCTTTGTGCCTAGAGAAAGGGGAAGAGACCAGATCCCTTGGCTGTGCCTCCCAAGGGGCCAGGTTTCTAAGCCAGGGCTACCAGCGTCTTAAGAGCTAGAACTGCCAGTCTGGGGTTGGGGGAGATGCTGGGGGAAAGGGGTGTGCGGTAAAGTCCCAGATCCCGCACCACTTCCCAGGCGGGGACCGTGAGGCCGACGGCACCCCTTCCCCGCTGATCCCTGCTCCCCTTCTCCTTCCAAGAGCCAGACCTGGAGGACTGCAGCTTCCGGTGTCGGGGGACCTCCCCCCAGGAGAGTCTGTCTTCCATGTGAGGGAGGGGGCGGCGGCTTGGGGGAGGGGCTGGGAGCGGGGCTGGAGGGACACTGAGGGGAGGAGAGGGCGGAGAGAAGGGCGCCAGGAGAGGGTGGGGTCCAAAAGGGGACGACTGGAACCCCTGAGGGAGGAGGAGGGAGGCAGGAGTGGGGACGTGAGGTAAGCCTGACCCTGGTTTTCTCTTCTGACCCCAGGTCCCCCATCAGCAGCCTCCCCGCACTCTTTGACCAGACAGCGTCTGCATCCTGCGGGGGCAGCCAATTAGACCCAGCAGCCCCCGGAACAACTAACATGGAGCAGCTGTTGGAGAAGCAGGGCGACGGCGAGGCCGGTGTCAACAGTGAGGAGGGGTGCAGCCGGGCTGGGAGACCTGCCCTAGGACCCCCAGACTCGGTCACCTTTTTCTCCGAGGTCCCCAGACCTTTTAAGATTCCGCATTTGGCCCCGCCTCGGCCTTAACTCTTGGCTACCCGGGCCTGATCTGTATTTAACCTTTGCTAGGCCCCGCACCTGGACCCGCCACCTGTGCACCCCGCCTTCGGCCCCCGCGGCCTCCTGGCCCTTACCTTCCTATGCTCCAACTTCCTCCGGCCTCCACAACCCTTATCACAGCTTCTACCCGCGAACCTCAGGCCCCGCCCCCAGTCCTCACACCTCCGGCTCCCGAGGTCCCGCCTCTCCGAGCTCACCCAAGTCTCGCCGGCAGGCGCCTTGCCTTCTCTTTTTAGGTCTCAGACCGATTTCCTCCTCCAGGCCCCGCCCTCCAGGCCCCGCCTCCGGTTCTCTCGTCCCGCCCCCAGGCCTGGCCTCCCGTTTCCAGGCCTGCGGGCTCAGGCGCTCTCACCCTCTCTCCGCAGTCGTGGAGATGCTGAAGGCACTGCACGCGCTGCAGAAGGAAAACCAGCGGCTTCAGGAACAGATTCTGAGCCTGACGGCCAAGAAGGAGCGGCTGCAGATTCTCAACGTGCAGCTCTCTGTGCCCTTCCCCGCCCTGCCTGCCGCCCTGCCTGCCGCCAACGGCCCAGTCCCTGGGCCCTATGGCCTGCCTCCCCAAGGTAAGGGGACTCCCACCCAGTCTGGGAGTAGGGGCCTCTGCTGGGCGATGCGACGTGGCCCTGATTCCAGCCCTTGACCTCCTTCCCTGCTCCCCTCCCTCAGCCGGCAGCAGCGATTCCTTAAGCACCAGCAAGAGCCCCCCGGGGAAGAACAGCCTTGGCCTGGACAACTCTCTGTCCACGTCTTCCGAGGTGGGCGCCGCGGGGAGAGGCAAGGGGGGGCAGGAGGGGAAGCGCCAGGGCCTTCTGGTCTCATCTCCACCCTACAGCTATTGGAGGCTGGGCAGTGAAGTGATTGGCCGAGCAATTGGTTGACTGATCCGTTCATTCCTTCAATAAATAATGATTATGAAGTGCCTACTTTTGATGCCAGGCACTGGCTACGCAATCAGTGAGCAAAATGGACGCAGTCCTGCTCCTGAAGGTAGACTGTAAATCCAAGAAAATGATAATCACGAACCAGGAAAGGGGCTAAAATGGAAATAATTTGAGGGTGGTGAGGAAGAGTGGGGGTGGGGTCCTTCTGGAGTTATGAGGTGGTTAGGGAAGGCCCCTGAGAAGTATTTGCGAAGGGCTTATCACAGTGCCTCACACAAAACAATCCCTGTGTAATTGGTGGGGGTTGGGGTACCGGTCGCTATTGTTATGTGGTGGTTGCTACTGGAATCGAACTGGCTTCTTAACATACTTGCGCAATCACCGTCATCATCATAGCGAATATTAATGACAGACTCGCTCTCTGAAATCACGTCCTGTGCTGAGGCTTTCAAAGCATTGGCTTGTTTAGCCCTCACAATAACCTTGTGGAGTAGGGACTGCCATCACCCCCACATTGTGAGTAAACTAACACAGAAGCCAGTGAAGCCATTGAATTGTGGACCATAGAGTTTGAACCTGAGCCTTTCACTCCAGCCACTGCTCTCCTGCCTGCAGAGTTAACAGAGCCTGTCTAAGAATCAATGGCTTCACCCATGTGTGGGAATAACGAGATGGTACAGGTCACACATTGAACCCTGGCTCTGGTTCGCTAGATGGCCACCACCATCGTCACTGTTCATGATTAAACCAGGATTGCAAGGGGTGCTGGGCCCCCAGGAAGTGATTTGTAAACGTGATTTGTGAAGGACTCTTTGGATTCTTAGCCTTTATCCCTGGGCCTTGCTTCTCTCTCCTGGGTGGCTCTGCTGGGTGAGGTGGAGGGGGGCTGTGCTCTGTGAGAATGCTGGTGGGTGCTGGGCCGGGGGCCAGAGAGGTCATGCTGGCCCCCTGCCCCTCTGACCCCTCCCTTCCCCCTCCCTCCCCAGGACCCACACTCAGGCTGCCCCAGCCGCAGCAGCTCGTCGCTGTCCTTCCACAGCACGCCCCCACCGCTGCCCCTGCTCCAGCAGAGCCCTGCTACTCTGCCCCTGGCCCTGCCCGGGGCCCCTGCCCCGCTCCCGCCCCAGCCGCAGAACGGGCTGGGTCGGGCACCGGGGGCAGCGGGACTGGGGGCCATGCCCATGGCTGAGGGGCTGTTGGGGGGGCTGGCGGGCAGCGGGGCCCTGCCCCTCAATGGGCTCCTGGGGGGGTTGAATGGGGCTGCCGCCCCCAACCCTGCGGGCTTGAGCCAGGCTGGCGGGGCCCCCACGCTGCAGCTGCCAGGTTGTCTTAACAGGTGAGGGAGAGCTCAGCCTGGGGAAGGGAACGGGGAGGCTGGCTCTGGGAGGGACTCCCCCAAACACCCACAGTCCCCCTTAAAGGAAAAATGTTCTCCAGTCTCACAAGGTATAGAATCTAGTCACTTCTTGGTCCCAGGTACTCCCCAGATGTTAGATGTGAGTGCCCTCTGGATGGTAGCTCTCCAGGGACAAAGTCGCCGGTTTCTTTCTTGCACCCCCAATCTTGATTTCCCTTTTGGGAAAGCTCTTCCATCTGACTTGTATCCCTCCCAGGGCAGTATCTGAACTCGCTCTGTTTCTCTTTAGCCCTCCAAAACCGCAACATCCCTGCCTTTCTCCACCTGGGTCTGAGGGAGTCCGGGAACTTGGCGGGGAGGGGGGAGGCATATGTCCCTGCCCCTTTCCATAGTGTGTGTTTTGTCCCCCTGTCTCAGCCTAACCGAGCAGCAGAGACATCTCCTGCAGCAGCAAGAGCAGCAGCTTCAGCAGCTCCAACAGCTCCTGGCCTCCCCACAGCTGACCCCGGTAATGCCCGCCCCTCCCAGCCTGCTCCAGCTCCGTAGGGGGGGCCCATGTCAGGGGCTGGGCCAGCCTGGGCCAGGCCAGCATAGAAGGAGGGAGGGCAGCCCCAGGCTGGGCCCCTGTGGGACATGTGGGGGCAAAGGGGATGAGGGTTGCTCTCAGGCCCCTGGGCATTGCGGAAGGGGTGCTCCAGTGGCCCCAGATAACATCCTAGTGACAAGGTCTGGAGGGTGGTGGGTCCTCAGTTACTGAGCATTTCCAATCCCAGCCCCAAGGATCTTCAGGGGGATCTTCAGGGTCTGTGGCTGAGCAGGTGACACCCTCTCAACCAGAGCAGCCCCTTTTGGGTCTGTCTTACATGCTGGGTTCTGCTAAGATTTCCTGTGGAGAAAAGGAGTTCTTCCTTTTAAAAAGGAGAGAGTTGAAAAAATAGAAAACATAATCATTTTCCCTTAAAGAAACATTAGAAAGATACACAGGAAACCAATTCAGCTGGTTACCTATAGGGGCCCAATGGGAACAGGGGTGGGGGCAAGATCTCTTAAGGTAAACCTTGATATTTTGTTTTGGTTTTTGGAACACTGAAAATGCCTTGCCTATTTAAAGCAAAAATAAATGAGTCTTAAATGAAACAAAACAAAACAAAACAAAACAAAACAAAAGGTGGGGGGGCTGGAATACTATTGACCTAGCTTAGTTATATCTCAGCTTGGGGTCGTGCCACCCCTAGGGCATTTGTGGTTGTCATAACAACAGGAACTGATTCAGTGAGGGGGTGGGGCCAAGGATGTTAAACATCCTCCAGCACTTGGCCAGTAGTGCCCCAGTTGCCAAACACTGATGGCAGTGACTGCTTTCTGATCCAGATGGGAAGATTTGAGTCCCCAGGTAGGGAGATGGAAACAGAAACTTGACGGTCCCCCAGGTCTCCTTCCTCATAGTTCCAGGGTGATGGGATGGGGCCTGGGCCAAGCAGGGCAAGCTAGCCCTGGGGACCACTGGCCCATGAGTGGTGTGGCCCCCTTGCAGGAACACCAGACTGTTGTCTACCAGATGATCCAGCAGATCCAGCAGAAGCGGGAGCTGCAGCGGCTGCAGATGGCCGGGGGCTCCCAGCTGCCCATGGCCAGCCTGCTGGCAGGAAGCTCCACCCCGTTGCTGTCCGCGGGCACCCCTGGCCTGCTGCCCACGGCGTCTGCCCCACCTCTGCTGCCCGCCGGAGCCCTGGTGGCTCCCTCGCTTGGCAACAACACGAGTCTCATGGCTGCAGCAGCTGCGGCCGCAGCAGTAGCAGCAGCGGGCGGACCTCCAGTCCTCACTGCCCAGACCAACCCCTTCCTCAGCCTGTCGGGGGCGGACGGCAGTGGTCCCAAAGGAGGGGTGAGTAGGGGGCCCAAGGCCGTCCTCCTGTCTCCCTTCTCCGGGATGGGCAGAGGTGGAACATCAGAAGGTACATCATTAGATGTGTCATCAGGAGGAAGGAAACTACCCCTAGGCCAGCAAAGTGCCCTGCCCCAGACCCCAGGGCCTGGGCTAGATCCACGATAAACTCTGAGCATGGGCTAACAGAAAAAGGACCAATTAGAAAATAGTGTTCCTCTGGGAAGACCAGTTAGAAAAGTCTGTTTCCTCTCTTGAGTGGACCAGTTAGAAAAAGATGATGCTCTGGGTGGCCCATTTGGAGAAAGGTCCTCTCTTTTTCCTCTTAAGGTATACAGGCAGAGCCCAGGGTGCTGGTATTGGCTGGAACTTACCTGCTTAGCTGGGTGCCCTTGTGCAGGGCAACTTGCCCCCCCTCCCCGCTTCCCCCCCCTCCCACACACACGAACACCCACGAAATAAAGAACACGTTAGCCCAAGAGCCCAGGGCAGGGGCTTCAGCGGGGCTCCCTCACTGTACCCTACAACAGCTTCCTTGACCCAGGCAGCTGTTCTCAACTGGGTGTTAGGACCAGACACCTCCTAAACCCCCAGCCTCCCTTCCTCTCTTTCCAGACCGCTGACAAAGGAACCTCAGCCAACCAGGAAAAAGGCTAAATCCACCCAGCCCCTCCTG